CTCGTTGTTTTCCGAGTGATCAGAGATGACCGGGAAAAAGGCATTCCGTTGTTGTATCAGGATTATTTTTGTCTAATAATAGAACTTTCTGAATCCTTTCGAACGCAGTCACAAAACATTGAGAGAACTTCCGCGCAACAGTTCAGAGAAAATGACATACTTTGTTCATGACTTCCGTTAGACAAAATCAGCTATTCACGGACACAGTTACCCATTTTTATCCTATGTTTTCCTCTTAATGTTTCAGTGTGAATTGGTGGAAACGTACCCACAAATCACTCTATCTACCACCGCTATCTTTGAACTCGCCCGCCCTGTTGAAGGTGATCAGCGAGACTGGTCTAACACGCCGACTGGTGAGTAGTGATACCCATAACTGTTGACTCTATTTCATCGAGGCACTTCTTGTTTCGTTTACACTCTTCACCCGGTCGCATCAATGTCTCCTGCAACCCTACGGTTCCCTTTTCTATTGAAACACCTGTTCGGTATAATTTCTTTCTTTTTTCCCTAACCTAACAAAGGATTGGCAATTTGAAAACCTTAGTTCGGCTTATGAAACATACAAACCTTATACATATATATCGTCTCTAAACTTCTCGCTGGTATCATACTCCGCCGATTGTCTACCGCACGCGAACGGTGCACGCGTAAGAACCAGGCCGGTTTTAGACCCGGTCGAGGTTGTATCGACCCCATCTTCACTCTGCGCCACATTCTGGAGCACCAGCATTCTTTTCGTAGACCCACCATCTCTGTCTTCCTAGATCTGAAAGCGGTTTTCGACTCAGTCGACCTCTCTAAACTCTGGCACTGCCTTTCCCTGAAAACTGAGCCCGAGAAGTTAAATCCAATATTACTATCGCTTTATACTCTTAGCCGAAGTCGAGTCCGGGCTTACAGCACTTTTTTGCCTGAGTTCACCACGGAAAGTGGTGTTCGTCAGGGTTGCCCTCGTTCTTCTTTTCTATTCAACTTTGTCATAGATCTGATTATGGAAACAGCCCTGTCCTCGTGCGAGCATAGTGGCATCAATCCACTCCCAGGTGGCAGGCTGTCTGACCTAGAGTACGCAGACGACATTGTGCTCCTAAGTGAAGATCCAGGTAAGTTGCAAGC